TAGACACTTCGCGGCGTATTTTGACCTGAAGGTTCTGAGTTGTGAATAGAGTGGTCAATTCATTTTAACTAATACCTATTAGAAATTTTCCTTTTAAAACAAATATAAATCATTTTACCAATTACTGGTACTTGCTAGACATTTAATATCAGACTTTAAATATTCTCCTTTCGGTTCTTTTAAATACAATCAAATAATTTCTTCAATTATCGATACTGACTTGGAATACTCCGCTTCGAATAAAATATTTCGAAATTATTTTGAAGGTTTAGGGAAATAAACATTTGAATTTTAGTCATCGTTGTTCTTCAGACTTGTCGAATAGGATATTGAAATGACTTTCGGCAATTGAAATTAATTTGAAATTTTTCTTTCAGTATTTTGACTAAATTTAAAGTTTTGTTTACATGTTATAACAATTAGAATGTTGACGTTTTGCCGTTTCACGGTTTTTCCTCTGTTAATTATGTGTTTATAAATCATTTCAAACTAAAGCAGCACCATGCCCACCCTTAATTAAACCGTCTCAGTAGTTTACCGTAATTAATAATCTATTTTCGGAATTTATACGAGAATTTTTGAATTTTAGTAAATACTAGAGTCAGTGCATCGCGTATTGAAATAATAGCTTCATCCCTAGTTCGTTTATTATTGAATATTTTTACGCGTTTAACTTATGCTTCTCCCCAATTCTCGTCGCGTATTTTATTCAAATTTTCTTATATTCTAGAATCGAAAATGATACGAATTCGCGTTTTTACTTTTGATTCTTTCAATTTTTCACTCTCGTTCTACGAATGTTTACTTCAATAATAATATTGAAAATTTTTCTGGTGATTTGGTTTAGTAGTTAGTTGTGTTGTGTATTGCCAGCTGAAATATGAGCTGCTTAATGTATATGCTTAAAATGTATTTTCTTGTGGCCGCCTGACAGCAACCTGTAAATCTGGCGCGACAGTGAACGTGTTAATAAGTAAATGTTGTTCAAATTATGTCGTGTTTTATGTCATTTTCATCAGAAAAATCTCATCAATATGTTAAAAAAAAGTTCGGGAAGTAAAATTAAAGAAATTATATTTTTCTATTATGATTTGTCGAGCCGTGAAATCTCGTAAAGCGTTACACGCTTGACTGACTGCGAGCGAGATAACATGGGCGCAGCAATGACGCAGACCGAGACGTAGGACCATCTATACTGTCCCTTGTAGAATTCAAACTTACTGACTCTTGTAGAGAATTTACTGTATACGGCTGCAAATCGGCTTGAGCAAGCGCTCGCGTAACGACCAAAAGGCAGTTCCAACCAAGCGCACCTCTAGTAGCGCGACATCCATTCGTCGCAACCTGGCAAGCAGCGGAAAAACAGCAAAAACGCGGATAATCAGCATATCGTTAATCACTGGCAAGGGGGTGATGTAGAGACCCTCCTACGCTCTGCCACCAAAGGGACAGACTAACCACAGATTCTCGCTAATCTTCATAAAGGCTCCTATTTGGATATACAGGGTTTGGCCGGACGGGTGGTGCAACCGAGCAGAGGGTGATACTACATGTAAAAATAAGTCGAAAAAAAGGAATAACATTTTTTCGTTTGACGCTTCGTTTTCGAGAAAATCGAGTTTGAAAATTCTATCCAGTGCATGTGCACTGTACCACGTCTAGATTTAGATATGTGTTAATAAATAAGAAATGTTAATGTATGGATAATACATTTATTAATTTTCTTGACATTACTAACGTTAATTACATTACATTATTGAATAAACTGTTCAAAGTGACGTCCTTGTTGACGTGTACATATTGCTCGCCTTGTTAATCAGCCATGAACTAAGGCCAATTTTCCCTCTATCTTTCCCCTGCTCGATCTCTCCCTCTCTCCTACGGTATGTATCATTGTGGAAGGAGCATAAATTACGAATCTGCGCAGCACTTACCGAAGTTTTCATAAAGTTCACGGGTTCGGATTGACGTGTACATATTGCTCGCCTTGTTAATCAGCCATGAACTAAGGCCAATTTTCCCTCTATCCTTCCCCTGCTCGATCTCTCCCTCTCTCCTACGGTATGTATCATTGTGGAAGGAGCATAAATTACGAATCTGCGCGGCACTTACCGAAGTTTTCATAAAGTTCACGGGTTCGGGGAGACCGTTGCATTAAACGAGGAGGGGCTGCAACAGAAAACGTACATAGTTGCATTACAGCGCGTGGGGATCTATCTAAAGAAATTAATTAGACAATCACTTAGTTTTTTGTTTCTTTTTCGCGTCTCACACAATTGAGACAGCGTTCGCAACGTCGAATTACATAAAATGTGTATGTTTACGTGTACACAATGTTTGCGTCATAAAAACTGATAAAGTCGCATCGTCACGAGGGGATTAACTACGTTAGATCATATCCCGGCAGTGGTGGGATGTACAGTCGGTGTACAGTAAAAGTTCTATAAGAGTTCCAAAGTCGGGACCGCTGTGTAACAGCTACAAAAAGGTGGTAGGTTTCTCAAACTCTTTGTATTTTACCGACACCGACGGACACAGAAAGAGACAGCAGACAAAGAAGGGAGAGGTATTGAAAGTCGAGCCAGTCCAAAAATATCAAACAGTGAGACAACTCAAATACAAAAGAAAAACTTTTTTGCTTTTTCTGTTTCGCTGATAAAAATTTTACTGACATATCCATTTTGTTTTTCTGATTAAAATGAGACCAAACACGGTATAATTCGGTTAATATTTAGTTACTTAATAAGAAATTCCACACATGCATATGTACATGCACACATCATTACGCCCTCCCTATAAATAATTATTACATATTTACGAAAAATTGAAAATAACAAACTTTTGTAGTTTTGTTAGTATTGTCTCACGGACATGCCGATGCTGAATGCGATAAAGAGATGTCACGGCCGTGCCACATTAGTCTCTTGCCTGGTTCAAGTCATGACGTAGATCCGAAAGAACTCTTATAGAACTTTTACTGTATATTCGTTCACGTTCGTTCATGATAACGCGTAAGAGTTGTCGGTTTCAGTGTTGACGCCTGTATGATATTGAAGCGATAACAGTATCAAACTACGTATATATGTAGACTGCTCATTTTTCAATATACGTCCCGTCCTGGTTGTAGTAGTTACTGTTCGGAGTGATGGCTCAACAGCTGCGTCCCCGTTTAGTCTTCTGTTAGACACAGACGACGAAATGGCTTCTGCGTTTCTGACACTTCTCGCGGGCGCGATAGTGTTACTGTGCTTCTACCTCTACAGAACGTATACCTATTGGCAGAGAAATGGTATTCCAGTCGGGAAAGGATACGTGCCTATCGCCGGTCACATACTGTCCGTCATTTTCATGAGACGCAGCATCAAAGATGTGATCCAGAAGATATACGACGATCACAAGCAACACAGTATGGTGGGATTCTACAAGACAACGAAACCAGTGCTGATAGTACGCGAACCAGCTTTGGTGAAAGTCGTCATGCAGAGTAAGTTCTCGAACTTCCACCAGAACGGAATGAAAATCGAACCCGACATGGACCCTCTGTTAGCCAAGAATCCGTTCTTCATTTACGGAGAAGAATGGTCGGCCGGAAGGAAACGCCTGACTTACGCGTTCTCCAACGTGAGGCTGAAAACCCTTTTCACAGCTGTCAGCGGGGTGTGTAAAAAGTTCGAGGATTTCCTAAACAGACGTCTGAAATCGAGCAACAAATACGAAGTCGAACTGAAGTATCTGTTCTCGAAATTCACCGGTGAAGTTGTGGCGAACGCTGGCTTAGGCATCGAGGGACTTTGCTTCGAGGATAAAGTGCATCCTAACGCGTTCGATGAAATTTCCCGATCGATCTTCAAGCCGAATGCGTTGCAAGGTTTCTTAACGATGATCATGCTATTCTTGCCCCACCTGAATCGTCTGTTCAAGATGAGTTTCATACCGAAGGAGATGGACAGATTCTTCAGGAGGATCGTGGCTGAAAATCTGGAGCTGAGACGAACGGAATCGGTGCCGAGGAACGATTTCCTTCAATTGATGATCGAGCTAGAAAAGTCGGGGGAGAAATTGGACGTAGATTCTATCACTTCTCACGCGCTTTCTTTCTACGTCGACGGCATCGAATCGTCCAGCATTACGCTTAGTTTCATCGGCTATCATTTGGCTCTTCATACGGACATTCAAGAGAAGTTGCGAGATGAAGTGAACGCTAAAATTGCCAAATACGACGGTGTGTTAACGTTCGATGCGTTGAAAGAGATGACCTATATGGAACAAGTGATCAGCGAGTCGCAAAGAGATTTCCCTGTTCTTACCTTCTTGAACAAGATATGCACGGAGGAATTCGAGCTGCAAGGTTCCGATGGATTGACGTTCAGAGCGAAACCTGGCAACGAGATACTTATACCTGTTTACGCTTTACAACACGACCCAAATTATTGGACGAACCCGGACGACTTCGATCCGGAACGATTCAACGAAGAGAGGAAACATTCTATAGAAAAAATGACCTTCCTTCCGTTCGGCGAAGGTCCGAGAATTTGCGTAGGAATGAGAATGGCTATGCTACAGGTGAAAGCTGGCCTAGCTACCTTGCTGAGAAGCTACAAAATAGAATTATCGCCGAAGACGAAAAGTCCGATAAAATTATCACCCTCTTACTTTCTTACGTCGCCTGTCGGCGGAATCTGGGTTTATCTTTCGAAACTTTAAAAGGTATCAAAATGCTCTTGTCGATTTTTATCTGCTAATATTACGTGTGATAAGAAATTATGCACGCGACAAATCCTGATGATGATTCTTGTAATTGTAATCGAATATTTTTCAATAAATATATATGCGTATACACATGTAGAGACGACGGTCTGTGTTTAATCATCGACGAATACGATTGTTCGGATAAAATTGTTAATATTGCAAATTGAAATAAATACCATACACCGTCTGTGTAATATCTATTCTAACGTTGTTCCACTTCTTCTAACACAGATAAGACATGATTATCGTAAAACAATTGGTTTAATTATATTCTCTTCTGTAACGATACGGAACAATCTCTGAACAAATAGATAAAACAATATGTACTAATCCAGCGTTGTGTCTTATCAACGATCAAATTATCGCACTAGTCCACGAGTAAATTGAACGATTCTGAAGACAAACGGACTGACGAATAAAAAGAAACTATGGGACGTACATAGTATTTATGCAAGTGTGTGTCGAGTGCACAGATCTCTCTCTCTCTCTCTCTCCTGTGTCTCAGAACGTAGATGGTTCGAACGAGTTCTCTGAGTGGTTTCCCATGTTCACCATCGCTACGTATACATTACTGTGCCAAATGTACACCTGTGTGCTCGCACACATTCTACATTTGCCACGTAGGTATATCGAGTTATTCGGCACGCGCGTGCAAAAATAAATCGAGCGTAAGATAGGATAGGGTATTTGATCCATGAAAGAAGAAAGAAAAACAAATTCTCCGATATCGCGCATTATATTTTCAAATAACGTTCGTTAAATGAGTAAGTATAAATGGGCGTCAATTGACGGTGAAGTGAACCGGAACAAGCCTGTTATTTAGCATGTTATAAAACGATCGAGCAGCTCAATCGTTTAATTCACGGGGCAATCTAAAACGAGCGAGTTATATCTTTTTGACGCTTCCCTGGTTCGACACAATGCCCCCTCGCTGTGCTTCCCATAGCTTTCATTCTCTCTTTTTCTCTCCTTTCTGTCGCAGTTTCTTTTACCTCGGGGCCACGCCGTCTTATCCCTCTTCACGACCGATCGGTTCCTCAGAGCGAGAAACAAGAAAGTGGAAGGAACACGTGCGCGCGGAAAGCGAAAATGTGCGGCGTGACACGACAGAGAGAGCAGACGCAAGACGACGAAGGAGAAAAGAGAGCAGCGACAGTGTATAGGGGATGAGAAAAAGGGGCCTTCGCGTCGTAGTGCATCTTTCTCTGATTTCCCGAGGGAGAAGTCGCCTAGCAAGCTTTCTCCGACGTATCGAAGCTGGAACGAGACGAAGGACAGAGAGAAAGGTGGATAGGTGTCCTCGCGTAGCATGATTTATTTTATTGCTTTTCGAGAAGCTAGCATAATTTCACCCTCTAGCCCCCCCGCCAGTTATTTACCCTCCTCACTATCTCTCTCTCTTTCTCTATCTATCTATATGTAGAAGGACGGACGGAACGGATCGAGGACCCTGGGCGAGGGATCAACAGGTACAGGACTGCCGGTATCCCTCGACTGCGTCAAGAAACCGCACCGCTGTCCCTTAACATGTAAAAATATCCCCGACGTAATATTGGAGGGATAAAATTGCACGACTTCATTGACAGTCGCGTTATTATCGGCGATATGGGAGGTGTATATACGTGATATATGGGTGTATGTTTATGTATGAAAAACAGAATGGTCGGTGAGAAATGTTAGTTAAACAGATCACAGAAATACACACGGAGAAAAAACAAGCGGAAACGTGTGGAACGGAGCGCAGAAGTTGGGCTTGATTTAATTAAAGCGGACAACTGGCAACAGTGATGCAGTAAATTGAAAATTACGGAGCGAACAAATCCTCTTAAGTGGAATATTACTAGCGGAATTGCACAGTAGGACGCGACAAATTCGATTGTTTTTGACTAAAGCTACGGGCAATAAATTAATCCCCTTCGATGGACGTTCAATACTTGCAACCAGGCATTGACGTCTAAATCCTATCATGCGCGTCCTCTTCTCCAACCTCGATTCCCACCCTCCTCCACCCCCGTCTACCTTCAATTTGCTCTCGTTCAGTATTAACCGTTCAGTGGCGGATCCGATAGATTAACCAATTCGAATTGTACGACCGAAAAAAAAAAAAAGGAAGAAGAGAGGGACAAAAGTACAAAAATTTATACTTCGATAAAAAGCACGTGGAGAATGAAAGAGGATCGATATGGCGAACGTTCTCTCGCACGTGTGTACAGACACGAGGAAAATAACAATATACACGGGAGATGCACGTATGAAAGATAAATTTGTTAAACGATCATGAGAACGACTTCTGTCGCCTAGCTCTCTCCCCGTCCGTGTTGTATTTCTTTCTTTACTCTTGTTCGACGATATTAGCATCCCCAGTTGAAAGGATACCGGAAGAACGTCAACCCGGGAGCGTAATATACTTGCTCGCCGCCTTTTCCGAATGCACGTCGCCTAGGGTAAGGGCGAGAGGTAAGCAGAGGGGTGTTCTGGGGGCGGAGGGGGTGGTAACGGAATGGAGATGGGGGGATAGCGACAGGGTCGTACCAGGAAATTTCACAGAGTGGCGCAATAACGTTTCTTGTGCCACGTTTCCGGAGTGGCGTGCTGTTGGTGGGATGGGGGGGTAGCTTGCAAATACTCACCTCGCGAGAGAGGAAGAATGAGAGTGCAATAGAGAGGGTGGAAATAGGTAGGGAAAAGGGAGGAGAGATGCAGTCACTCTCTGGCATGCAATTAGGAGCTAGGCATCGCCCTGGAAAGGATCCCTCTCTTTCAGTGTTCCTGCTAGAATCCTCCTCGTTCATCCCTCCTCGTTCCCTTCTTTTCTTTATCCGTCTTCTTCTATCGTTCGTTCGATTATACACGTACACAGATTTTCTTCCTCGCACACTTTCCTATAATCCACATCAGCGCCACGCTCGTCGACACGCGCGCAGGCATAGGCACGGATAACGACTATAGAAAATATCGGGGAGAGCTGTAGCATGAAAATTGAGCGCCCATTCTCTACACCAACGGGAATCAGAAAACTGTGATTTCGAGATATAACCGGTGTCGGGGCGGAGGCGGAGAGGTTATTAAATACGTATTTACGCTAACTCGATAAAGGATTGATCCATAGGGTTTGAAAGGTTTTCGCGCGGGGAAGACGAGGGAAGCTTTCACCTGTATAACACGGCTATCGAGAGAAAACGCGTGTAATGCAAATTGTATAGCAGCGCACATGGGACGAAATTTCTTTTCCCCCGGTCGTCGCGCTGCTCTCTAACGCGATTTGCAGCGGAAATTTTTTTCAGATTAAGCCACCCACGGAATAGCGAAACGGCGAAAGGGTATCAAACTGCGAGGGAGCGTCAGCTCGAGTGGAGTGAGCACGAAATGTGTATATACATATATATAAAAAAAAAACAAAAATAGAGAAGAAAAAAGGTTTGAAACATTGCTGCTGCGAACCGGTGAACGGGGTGAAGCAGATAGTGCCATTCAATGCTAGCAACGTATGATTCCCGCGGGAACGGCCGGTAAACACTAACGCCAATCCTGTTTCCCCCCTCTCTCTCTCACTCTTTCTCCTTACTGCCTCTATCTATTTTTCGTTTTTTTTTTTTTGTTCGTTTTTCCACCTCTGCCAGACTCCCACCTCGCGACGACGCGTAATAACGATAATAAATCGTGACTGAGTGATTTAGGGGTTCATTTAGCCGTGCGAAAGTTTCACGAACGGGGAGGGATCCCAGGGCAGATTGTAGAGAATAAGTCATTTTCTGCTCTTGTCAATCCGTGAATTAAGCGACACCGACGATCCGCAGCGCGGCGACGATTCGTCGTGAAATTGCACGGGAGTCGTCTTTCAACGTCGGAATTGCTCCGTGTCTGGCTTGAACGTTGAAAAATACGCAACCCGCCCCCTCCCTCTAGGAGACCATCCGTTACGAAAACAAGTATGCATATACGCGTACAAGCAGGGAGCCTGGGCTGCTCTTTCGCTTCACAACGAAGTAGCAGTTTTCAATAGGAAGCAGATCGTTTTATTCGGTTTTGCACGGTTTACACGCGGCTGCGATGGAAACTCGTAATAACAAGAGAGAGAGCGGCGGGGCTGTGTAACAAATGTTGTCTGTTTGCAAAGTATCGATCACTTGACCAACCAGTGAACCGAGAGTAAAACGAATCTTCCGAACAATAACGAGTCGAAACAGATAACCATTGGAAACATCGGATAAAATCTTATCAGCACACCGAGAGAGAGAGGAGAGGCCAGTAACGGAAGCAGCTTGTTGACATAAGACGCAAACTTCTATTAACGGAAATTAACGAAGCTCACCTAGACGATAATTGAGTAGAAGCTACTTTCGAGAGAGGAGTTTCTATTTCTCCTTCTCCCTTGGGTCATTCGATTCCAGCAAGCGCGCGAAAACAATAGCTTTAATCTCGGCCAGTCACAATGCACGACTTGCTGGTATTTCCTAGCCGATAAAGCGCCACCATCGTCCACTAATAAAGGGAGGTTCCGTTCGCTCGACGATTTCGATCGTTTTGTACAAACGAAATCTTCCAGCGACCCAAATGATTCTTCGATTCCTTTGAAATTTGTTTTCAATAATTCATCCTGGGACCGGAGCGACGCGACAGCTTGGCAGTACGAGGAGCAAAAGGGGTGTAGGAAAGAGAGAGAGAGAGAGAATTTCGTTTAGCTACTCGCCACAGAAGAGAAACTGAAAGCTTCGAGAAACCGATCGTCGTCGTCGCCGCCCTTTCTAAATAATATTAATCAATCACGATAGCTTAACGGATACTTTTAAATTCGATTCAAAAGAAAGAGAGAGAGAGAGAGAGTAAATTCTGCTCCGGCTGAAAGCTAATATACACCGTTTATTTCTCCCTCCTCTTATTTATCGGATTTCCCCATGGCACGGCTAATAAATGAATCGATCGATCTTCTCGCTACGTGCGAAAAGAGACAAGTCGATGGGGCAATTTCGTTGCGCCTGATTTTGTGTTCCGTACGTTGGCTGCGTGTACGAACGGATGGATTCGGCGTTAGACGTCGACGGGGAGAAAAGAAGGAAGGAAAGCAGGCGATGGCACGTCTGCTGGTATCTTTACGACTTCCCAGGGACATAAAGTGGTGTTATCCCTCTGTAGCTTGGTTCTCCTGGTAAAGATGGTACACGCACACCTACGCATACCGGTGACACCACGGACACACCGGTACACCTATGTGCGACAAGAGTATCACACCGATCCGTGGTACACTGACGAGGCCACACGACCCTTTCTGCCAGTTAGTCTCACCGAGATACTAGGATAGCGATAGGACATCAGCCTTTAAGCATCACCCTTGAACCGTTGGACGGTACAAACCTCAATATTGTCGGAAGAAAGGAGGATAAGCCGGTCCACCCTGGGCTACAATAGAGCCCTTCCTGAATGGAGGTGTCGAAATTGTCGAAGCCACGGAAAAGGAGACCTTTTACCCCTGCAAATTATTTACGAACGTACGAAAGAACCGTTCGCGGCCATCTTTTACTCTTCCACCTTTCACCTATATGTATATTTATAATGCACCTGTGTGTAGGTGGGGTATTTGTTCGTAACAAGGGAGGATAACGTACGGGGAATTGTTTCAGTTCGAGCGACGTTCCCCTGGATATATGCATATGCATATGCATGCCTACGTACGAGCGAACCCATCCATTCAACAGCGTAACAGGTGTATTCCTTCCCCTCGGTTGAAATACGACCTTCCTTTCCGGTCAATCTAACTTAGATATTAACGTCGAGAGATACGATTTTCGAGTGTCATCGTGTAATCTGGTCGGAAAGCGAGAAAACAAGCCGCGTCGCGTTGTCTTATCGTAACGAGGTGTTACACGTGTCGGCTCTCCAGTTGGACACAACACAGCAGAACGTATTCTCGTTTCCTTTCCTTTTTTTTTCGTGGCTTTAAAACTTTTATACGTCTCGTATCGAAATGCAACAGTCGAGAGTATTTTATACGTCGGACAGCTGTCGGTGGCAACGCTTCTATCATCCAGTTTGTATTACACGCGACCATAAAGTTACGCCGGCGAATCGATTTCTCCTTTTGCCCGTTACCTAGAGACGGCGAATCGTAAAATAAAATCCATAAGAGGCAGTGTTTCTGAATTTCTGAAACTGCTCCAGCCTCACCTTCTCCTGTTCCCCTGCGCCCCTGTGCAAAATGTCCCTGTGAAAGCAGTCGTTTCTTCGTTTTGTCATTCCTCTTATCACCCACGCACGCACATTTCCCTCCCGCGCCCCTGTCTTCCGCCCCACGCGTCCGTTTCTTTCCTCTTGACAAGAGCGAGGTGAAAAAAGAAGGAGGTAGAAATCGTCTGTCTAGGTATTCCGTGTCTCCTGGGTGAGATAAGACCGTGGAAAAAAGAAGGCGAGCAGGAGGAAAGAAGAGAGGAGAGAGGGAGAGAGAGAGAGAAAAAAGGTCGCGAGACATCGCGATGGAAATTGAATTTCCAGGTCGAAAGTTCTGGTGAGACTCCCTCTGTTACGTTGCCCCGTTGTAACACGCTGGCGGAGAGCTTTCCGTAAACCATCTCGCAAGAAGACAAAGTCTCGACGAGTTGATGGAGCGAGTTCTTTCGCGAGTCTACTCGTGCTAAATTAGTATCACCGATGCATACGGGGGCAAAAATCATTTCCTCCTTGGCTTTGCACATAATTTTCATCTACCTGCGTTTTCTTCTCCCTCTCTTTCTCGCGTCGATATGTGGAAAACGCGAGAGGGTAATTCTCTTTTTTTTCGTTTAGATTTTTTAACGACCGCGATACTTCAGATTTCCGTATTGCCGGACTTACCGGACCACGGTGCTCCGTGTTGTGTTACTTTAAACCACCTTTTCACTGCAATTTTCTTGCGCTCGAAACGAACGGCTCGTAAACCACTGCCGTGACGTAGGTACATTCAACGGTTAAATTACACGCTAGCAGGGCACAATACGTAATTACGCCAGTGCTAAAATAAATGTTTCACTTGCCTCATCTTAGGAAACGTCCTGCTTAGTTCACGTGCAACCGTTGGTACCAACGGCGCCAAATTTATTCTACTCGTCTGCTACTCTGGACGTTTAACGAAGAATA